TGCCCACACGCCACGCGAAAAATTGAATTTATATAAAACTAGCATTGCCTGTGGCTCCGCCCGCGTTCAGATGACCAAAAACCAAATTTTTAGGTTTTACATAGTATTAGTGTATACTCTTACATTGCAGTTTTTGTATTTTTTCTCAGAAATGAGATATTTTACCGCGGTAAAAAGTATCCTATATATATACCCGGATAACCAGCACCCGGATCACCATACCAAATTTCATCAAAATCCCTCCAGTGGTTTTTCTGTGATGCGGCAACAGACATACAGACAGACAGACAAAAATTCTAAAATCTATAGATTCGGCTTCTGTATCGATAATAATGTTTATTTCAGTAAGATTTTCCAAAAGCTATTTAATGTACAGATTCGGCTTGGTTACATATACATATATTATATGTATAGGCTAGCAATAAACATGACCTATCGATTTAAATTATTTTTTTAATATAAAAATATTCATCCTTTCTTTATCTTCCAATGTGCCAAAGAATTATCTTTTCCCCTATACTTAATTTATAATGCATCCTTGCGAACTGGAGTTTTTCCGGCAAAATGGAAGGAGGCTAGAATAGTGCATGTGCTTAAAGGTGATAACCCCTCCGTAGTAGAAAACTATCGCCCGATTTCGATTTTATCAGCTATGTCAAAAGTCTTTGAGGGTTTGTGTACCAAATAATATTTGCTAAAGTTAAACCTAACATCATCGAATCTCAACATGGATTTATATCTGGCAGATCCACTAATACAAATCTCATCACTTATGTCAATGAAATCATAAAACTAGTAGATGAAGGTAATCAAATTGACGCCATTTATACTGACTTTTCAAAGGCTTTTGACAAAGTTAACCACACATTATTAATCAAACAACTGGAGTCCCTTGGTATAACTGGTAATTTGTTAAGTTGGTGTAAGTCTTATCTCCTTTTGAGATCATCCAGTGTCGTAATTGATGGACACCAATCTAATTTGTTTACTGCATATTCTGGAGTTCCTCAGGGATCTATTCTAGGTCCTGTCTTTTTTAACATTTTTATTAATAGCATTGCGTCCATATTTAAATATTCTAAAGTCTTTATGTATGCAGATGATCTTAAATTGATACGCAAGATTAAAACGTACTCAGACGTAATGTGTCTGCAGAAAGATTTGGACGACCTATGTAATTGGTGCAATAACAATAATATGTATTTGAATGCGAAAAAGTGCTATCATATAAATACTCACTTCGCACACACGAAAACTTCACACGAAAAAAACAAGGTAAAAAGCGAATATTATATATCTGGTGCTCCTATTTGTAAAGTTGACGTTATTCGTGATCTCGGTGTCTTTTTGGATTCCAAATAACAATTTGCTACTCACATTGAGCATATAGCGAGTGCTGCGCTCAAATCATTGGGGTTTGTTCTTAGAAATGCAAAAGAGTTTAAAAAAATCTCAACTCTTTAATTGCTTTGTGAGAAGTAAGTTGAAGTATTGCTCTGTAGTCTGGTCACCTCATTACAGTGTTTGTTGTGTTTGAGAAAATACAAAAAAGATTCGTAAAATTTATGACATACCACTTTAAAATACCTCAGTCATAATGTAGTTATGAAAACAAATTGCAATTTTTGGGTCTACTTTCGTTACAGTCGCGACGTAAGGTACTGGATATGACGTTTTTACAAAAACTGTTAAATAATGTAATTGACTGCCTGCCGTTGCTCGCTTTAATCGACTTTAACATACCCGTAAGGATTCCAAGGAAACATGCCCCTCTCTTTCGTACAAAGAGGCATAGGACCAACTTAGGAAAAAATACGCCTCTAAATAGATTAGCACGCACATACAATGATATATCGTTAAAAAAGGGAATTGACATCTTGCATGATAGCCCCGGTAGTTTTAAAAATAAAATTTTAAGTATACTTAATTGAATGGAATGTAATGAATTTTCATACTCTTTCTTTATTCCTCAATTATATAAATCACATTTATTGTATCGCCCTATATGTAATATATTAAATTCACAATTTAATCTATAGTATATTTAATTTTTAATTCATTGTTCTATTTTAATTGGCACAAAAATGTATTAACTGTGTGTAATTGTATATATTTTTATTTTTCTTTAAGATGTTAATGTTGTACTAATTTAATAGCATGTTGTAATTATCTCTAATTAAAAGAGCAATCATCATGTTTCTATAGTAATGAAAAAATTATATGTAATTTATTATTGTAACTTTTGTTGGTAATTCTAAATAAATAAATAAATAAAAATAAATAAAAAAATATAAAAGTTAGACATATACTGTGGCTGGGTTTTTTGTAGGCATTATTAAGCTCTACAACTTTTCCCTAGAACATAATCATATATCTCTCATCGTTAAGGCAGCGTTCGTAAGAAACATTTTCGTTCGACCGTTTTTTCTTCGACTTACTTTGCAAATCCGACTACCACGAAAAAGCCTTTTCATTCTTCGGGTTAATATATAGCCTATGACACTCAAAAAGAACGTGGCTTTCTATTAATAAAATAACTTTGAAAATCGGTTCAGTAGATCCAGAGATTACCCCCTAGAACCTCACAAACTCACAAAATCACAATATCACAAACTTTACCTCTTTATATATTATGTATAGATAAATAAGTTCTTTTTGGCTCCACGAAAAATTATTATTATTGTACTTAAAGTACTGGATGTCTCAGTGGTCAAAGTTGCGTTAATGATGAGTTGTGTATTCGTCTATCAAGTATGAATTTGCCGCCCCCTGAAGTTGCCACCCGGGGCATGAGTACCGGTTTGCCTCCCCCCCCCCCTAGATCCGGGCCTGATCGTATTGACTTGCAACAAGTATATGTATTATCGATGACAGTACGATTAATTTGCGATCTAGAGATACCTTTTTTTTTTTTTTAACGTTGGGAAATGCATTTACGCACGAAGTGTGGGACTCACCGGCGAAGCCAGTACTACCCACTAAAACCCAACAAAACCTTCCCCCGTCTTAATGGGGCGTCGCAGGATCGCTTACGCATTCAACTACGACGCCCCGACGGCAGGTCTGCCGAAGCAGACCACAACAACCACGGGGTTGCTCCACGGTCCACTCTGCTATCAGAGAAGTACCAGGAGCAACCCGCATGGCACACCGCCCTCCGAAGAAGGCCGCCTCCCACCGCCCACCGAAGCGGGCCACCTCCCTGTGCGTTTCTTGGCTTCGCGAGTACACTACTGAGCCCCCCCACCACGACAAGGTGAACGCACGTTGGGGGGATCTAGAGATACCTAATATAGGATAGTGGAACTCTTCAATGACTACTATTAAAACCTTCAAATTTGAACTTATTGGATTTGTTTGATTGCGTGAAATACGTAAGACTGCAAATCCGATTTGTGTCATTGACAAACAAAGTTATTTTTAGTAAAATCTAAAGAAAGTATTATAGGACTTGTCCAAAGATATAAAAATATTTTTTTATATTCCCATTTATGTTTATTACCTCACTAAAACGGTAATGGTACCTGTAATCCAATCTTGCAAGTTAAATTTGACCCACTTCCCAGTGTCCGATTGAGCTGAAATTTGCCACACATTTTTGGTTCTCGTGACAATGTACGATTACCTAAATGTCGCCATCTGTAATCCAATAGGAGGACGTTACAAAATGGCGATTTATCATATCCATAGTGACCCTTATGGACAGGGATATCAAATGAAAGGAAAATAATAATATTGAAAAAACTGTCCAAATATGATTTGAGTCCCGTTTATGTTTTTTGTCGTTTATGTACATGTTAATTTCATTTTCTAGGGTGGTGAGTATTCACCGTTCGACTCTGCTTCTTACGGTACATTTAAGGCAAGGTTTACTTCGGAAATAGATCCTATCACCAATATTTTTTCTTTCGTACTGCTTAATGATGTAGATAAATTTATTTTCACCATTAAAGGAAAGCAATACCCATATCAGCCACCATATATACTAAGCCTTAAAATTGATGGCGTGGAAAATTGTAAAAATCCTGATTTAGTGAGTATAACATTTATATCTCATTCATTAAATTTGAAAATTAAAATCAACTTCACTCAATAAGGCTTACACAAGCACTTTTGAATCGTCAATTTATTCAAAGATAGTAAGTGAAGTTGGTCCATGAAGAAGCTAACACCAATTTGGAAAAATTCTGCCGAAAGGAACCGCTGGGAAACTCATCAGTTGCTCTTTTAAATTATTTATTTTTAACATTATCTTCTTTCGAGATAGATAGATTTCTTTCACAATATACAATCTTCCTGAGACTAATCAAATAAACGGGAGATAAGACATTTTATATTGATTTTCCTCATTGTCATTGTGGAGAGCCTCCAAAGCACAAGATCTGCTATTAATATTGTTTTTTTTTAAATATTTCAGACCTACTTTCATCGATATGCACCTTATACCGGGCGAGCACCATTTTGGGCTGCAGCACCTGATAAATTTTGTGGCAGACGACGAATTAGTGCACAATCTATTCCGCTGATAAGGAGTGGTGCTGAAGGTAGAGCTGGTGACTGGCCGTGGCATACAGCAATATATAGATTCAATAAAGGCATTTTACAATATAATTGCGGAGGAACACTAATATCGATTTTTTTAGTTTTAACAGGTAACAAGTCTTGAGAAATGTATGTTAAAACATAAATATAATTTACGCTTGCTTGTGTAAGTTATACTTGGGAAAAGTTTACTAATTATGTCAAAGTATGTATATCGAAGTTCTAAGCAACTTATGTATTAACTTATAAATAGACTATATCGTGTTATTTATGTTAATACATGGCATCCAGCCTTCGATTAACAATACTACTAGATATCGTATCGGCGTAAGAAATCCGTCTCGATAAATATCAGCTCATTTGAAAAGTGAGCGTATATTTCGATTAGTTCAATAGAAACACTGCCAACGTAAGCGCGTTCACAAGGCCGCAATGTGTATTTAAAAGTTGCAAAAATAATGTGCGAAGAAGAAATTTTTCGGACAGAATGTCTTATTTTCGGTAAGTACATGTAGATTAAGTTAATATTTTAAGATTTAACCTACGAAATAATATAAATATGAAATTTTGAACAATTTTAAATCCGCTAAGAAGCAAATAGAAACAAAACATAACGATTTAGCTCACAAAGCAACAACAGGAAAAAGTGCTTTACGTTTTTTAAATATAAGGTTGATTTTACAATAAAGATTATAAAACTTACGAAATGATCGTAAGTGTATGATGATAATTTGAAGATTTGTGACTTTATTAAAAGGTGCTATGGTGTTGATTAGGTTGAAAATAAAACTATTATAAGTCTTTGTCTTGGTTCGTTAGTATACAAATGTAGCTGTATAAGTACAAGTTCGCGCGGAGAGAATTTTGCTTTGATCTTATATGTGACACGTTATCTAGTTGTATTGTTGATCGAAGCATCCAGCTATCCATTAATAATTTTAACGTGATTGGGCTACAAATTCTTAAATTAAACGATTTTTGACATGATATTTTTTATGTTCTTTACAGCTGCACATTGCGCTACTATTCGTGGTGTGGCAATCAACCCAGAAATGCTTGGAGTGGCTTTGGGAAAACATAAAGTTTTTGGAAATGAAATAACTACTCAGGATAGAGAGGTTTTAAAATTTTTACTTTTTGAGCATACAGGAAAAATAAAGATCAGGTGTCTAGCCATTACAAATACTTTTTTCTTTTTTAAATAGTAAGCTTTTTAAAGAAACTTTTTCTTCTTAAGTAGTATAAGTAGATTTTTGTGCAGTAACTCCACTATAGCAAAACATGTTCCAATTATATATTTTATAATTATTTTCAGGTGCACAAAGTGATTATTCATGAAGACTATGCTTACAAAACTTTAAATAATGATATTGCTCTGTTAAAATTAAGCTCAGAAGCTGTTTTCAACAATTACGTTCAACCAGCCTGTCTTTGGCTAGATGATATATATGATCAACTGCCCTCCTATGAAGTGCATGGGACTGTAAGGATTTTATGTATTTACCATTACTAACACTTCTTTTGTGTAGAGATAGAAAGTTTAATATATATACTATTTGTTACAAGATAAGCTGGAGGATTCGAAAAGAAAACTATTTCGATTGAACGCTTTCAGAAAACTTAAAAATAGTTATATGAGAACTAGCGACTCAATCTCCCTTCATTCTGCGTCCCTAGGGATGAATGGTTTACGAAAGTATACAGTATAAGCTTATAAAGATTTTTTTGGCCATCAACTTTTGGAGGCATACTTAGAACTACTCACTAGTTTCATCACAATCGGATGAATGCTTTAGGAAGTCATAGAGTAGAAGCGTACTAATAAATATTAGTTTTTATTTATATTGATTTAATACTTTCTTAGATTTACGCGAATATTTGATTTTATTTAAAATTATATTGATTTATATTAATTCACTATTAAATAGTCCTTGTATCAAAATACGTATTTTAAACAAATTATAGTAGTTTAGAACACAAAAAATCACCAAGTGCTTGTCTCAGTACTCCACGCCAAACATAATTATAAGCCAGTAAATGATAAAATTTCAGGTAGTAGGATGGGGAATTGATCAGTTACAAAAATTGGCAAAGAATCTTCGAACAGCAACAATGCCGATAGTTGCAGACGTAACGTGTATGCGATATGAACCTGTTTTCTATACAAAGATGTTAAACGGAAAAACGTTTTGCGCTGGCCACAATAATGGTGAGATCAGTTGTTAATCTTTTTATTGATTAAAAATAAGCTAGTGGATCGAGATCCACTGTCTGTCTGTCTGTCCGTCCGTCCGTCCGTCTGTCTGTCTGTCTGTCTGTCTGTCTGTCTGTCTGTCTGTCTGTCTGTCTGTCTGTCTGTCTGTCTGTCTGTCTGTCTGTCTGTCTGTCTGTCTGTCTGTCTGTCTGTCTGTCTGTCTGTCTGTCTGTCTGTCTGTCTGTCTGTCTGTCTGTCTGTCTGTCTGTCTGTCTGTCTGTCTGTCTGTCTGTCTGTCTGTCTGTCTGTCTGTCTGTCTGTCTGTCTGAACTATCACAGAACAGAAAATCATCATAGAAAAACTACTAAACGGATTTTAATGAAATTTGGTATGGTCATAGCTGATTATCCGGGTCAACATATAGGATACATTTTACCGCAGAAAAATATCTCATTTCTGAGAAAAAATACAAAAACTGGTTAGGATAAAAAAACGATGATACTGTATACATTTTAGCAAGTTAACTTACTAAATATGACAAAAATTATTAAAAATAGCTTCTTGAAAAAGTATATCAATAGCACTATATTATTCATTATAAAAGTTATTTTAATTAATATTTATTTTTGTATTATTTAGATATTTGTCAATAGATGTCGCCATGTGTCTTTATAATACGTAGTTTTAATTCCAAAAAATTAAATGTACAAATTAGACGTTTCTATGATTTATTAGAATTACTACTAAATTACCCGCGGCCCCGCCCGTGTTCAAATTATCAAAAAGCAATATTTTTGGCTTTATAAATTAGTTACATCTACAGTTACATTAAAATTTAACTAAACCGTATCTGTGCTTTAATATTTTTTGAAAAATCTTATTGAAATACACATTATGTATGTTGTTAATTATATAAAAGAATAACAATCTAATGTTGCGTTTCTTGGTATGGTATGGTTAAGTTAATTTTTGTGAAAGTTAGGCATTATTTTTACTGACTTCTTTGTTACCATTATAATCAATTTGCATGTGGAGTTTACCTTTAAGTAATTGTTACACTATTACAAGAACATCTAAGATTGTATACTAATTATATAAACCGTGTAAACAATTGTTGGTAAACCTAAATAAATAAATAAAAAAAAAATTATCGCTAACAGAGGCCGAATCCGGGTCAACTTATATAATAAGAGTATACTAATACGTAAAACCTAAGAATTTGGTTTTGGTCATATGAACGCGGGCGGAACCGCGGTCAATGCTAGTATATAATATAAATGTTCGTTTGTTTTTTTTAAAGAGAAAAGGAGGAGGAGAGGAGATAAGCGGAGAGGGGATGAGAGGAGAGGAGAAGAGAAGACAGGCGAAAAAGAACTGCGAAAGACAGGCCAAATCTCAACAACAAGCTCCTCTCTTCTCGCTCCTCTCCGCTCCGCTCCTCTCCTTTTTCTTTTATTTCCCCGCAGTAAAAGATATCTTAAATATCCTAACCCGAGTAATAAGTTATCAGTACACAAAATTTAGATAAAATCGGTTCAGTACTTTTTTCGTGAAACGCGCACACCCAAACAGACATACAGACAAACAGAATTTTTTTCATAATCATTGTTTTGGGGTCTGTAGGACACAATACCTTACAGTCATTGTTTTGAAAAAATATTTCACGTATAAATTACTTACGCTTACTTACTGTTTTATCATATGTATAAATATTAGTTAGTTATTAGTTTAAATACATATTTATTTATTCACAAAGAATCACACTTCGGTTCAAAAACAAAATCATGCTCCAAAACATTTATACACCGTTATTATTGCGCTCACGCCCTCTCCTCGCGTAAACTCAGCGTCACAAAGGTACAACTTCTGAATAACCCATCAGTGATATGCACCTCCAGTATTTTTTTAAATGTAGTCCGAAGTAATATCTCTAGGGCTTTTTTTTATTTTTTCGATATCTCATTTCATGTCGAGATATGTTTTTTTTTCTGACCGAAAACGAGCGAAAAGCGACTATTCTTTTTTCGATTTTAAAAAAAGCCCTTAAGCCCTCATTCAGACGCATCTTTTAACATCCCAATCAACCACGTAGTCCTAAAATCCACGACACCAGGGCGATGTCGCATTTTCGTTGAAATTCGGGCCTATACTGAAGCGACAAAAAAAAACATTTTTAATGTTAAAACATTTTTACAAACAAGTCTTTATTAAAATGCTTCAAAAAGAAGAAAACAAAGTTTAAATTAAATCAAACCCATCAATTTATTACATTACACAATTTATAATACGATATACGCTTGTCGCGAGATTTACCAATTTTATAAAAACTTCTTTTTGGAGCATTAATTTTTGCATAGGGGGTCTTTATAACCCTATAGCAATCAAGCTAAGCGTTAAGCTTAAAAACAGACTGGGTTGGGCCCACCTCGGTGGTAGGTGTACTATGTGGGTTGCACCTGGCACTTCTCTGATAGCAGAGTGGACTGTGGGGCAACCCCATGATTGCAGGCTTACTGCTTTACGCCTGGTACTAACCCGGGTAGTACTGACTTTTGTGGCTGGCGAGTCCTGCATAAACACCTGTATGTGTACAAGTGATAGGCGTAAATGCATTTCCCAACGTTTAATAAAAGTTTTAGGCCAATATTAAAAAATCGCCTAGTTACCTTAAATCAGCAAACGTCAAAATGTACTGTACTGTGTATTAAATTATGTTCTATTATAGGCACGAGCGCTTGCAATGGAGATAGCGGAGGAGGTTTTGTTGTATTCGTGATGGATATTACAACGTATAACTCTACTGTTTCTTTAAAAGATGTACCTGGCGCTTTGTATGTTAAAGGCATCGTTTCCAGCACTTTGGCTCGCAAAGATTCTTATATTTGTGACCCTAATGCCTATACAGTGTTTACAGATGTCGCCATGTATAGAGACTGGATATTAAACTATATGACAACATAATTTTTTGTTTTAATCACTTATTAGCCATATTATTTAATATTCAACTATAAAACCTATTTAAACTATAAAAGTTGTTTGGTGCCAGTTTGTATTTTTGAAAATAATTGTATAGTTTTGTAGGTACGTGCAGTCTCTCCAGTGACCATGATTGCTGTAAAGCATTCGAAACGACGGGAATCAAAAATCAAAATAAATCTGAGAAATAATCGGAAAAATATAAATTTTATTTAAAATGTCAAATACTAGCGTAAATCTAACAAAATATTTTATAAAATACTAAAATATATTTAATCATTAATAAAAGAAACTCTTTTTAGAACTTGGAAAGTTCAAATTTCAAAGTAGTACCTAGCCAGTAGGTAAGTATTTCCCCGTCCTTCATAGTTCGTGCTAGTGATGTGCCATACTGTCTATGGCTAATGGTGTAGAGAGTGAGTGAAAGAGAGTGAAGTGCACAGTATTACATTATGTTTACTGTGAAAAACATTGAAATAATTAATAATCACCTTTTTATAATATATGTTATAACTATTTTTAATGATGGGCAAATAAACATATAACTCTGGCAAACCTTTACTTGCTATTATTATATTTGGAGAAGGCAAGATGTCCATTCGTTTATTAATATGTAAATCTTTTTATATTTGTTTGTTAGAAAAATGTTTACGACGACAAAGCTTTATTTACTCATTCTATTCTAGATAGTGGTAATATAGAAAACTGGGAAAATGGAGCAAAAAAAAAGAAATTTTTGAATCTTAGTGCTACATGTGTATAATGTAAACATTTAATGAAGAAATAATCAAGGTAAGGCTATAATATACATATAAATAAATATAGCAGATATGACATTGTAATTTTACAATCTGTCCGTTATAACATTACGACTTATATTAATATAAAATTAATATTCCAAAGGGTAAAGTTCTTCCCAAATTTTAATTCTATCTTCTTTCAAGTTCTTTTTCACGCTAAGCTTGTTGTCGATACGCAAATATTTTCTGTCATCCGGCAGAATACGCGGCCACTTAATGCCCTTCAGTGCTGATACGTCGCCCTTATTAGGATCACTATGACAACACAAAACGATTAAAATAACAAAACGTATCGGTGATGTGAAGTATAAAAAATATATTTAATTGAAATTTATTTACGTCGGTTAAAATGAGGAAAGAATAAACAGTGAAACAAGACTAAACTTTAACTGTAAAAAACTCACCCATTTTTGGCAAAGTTGTACCAGATGGAGGTCATGACGTCGACAGTGTCGGAGTCTGCGCCCCTGGTGCCAACGTCCGGGAAGCGGTAGCTCAGCGTGAACAGGTAGATCAGATCGTCGTGGTGCGCCGCGCCTGCACGTTGTCGTTGTAATCATTAATTATAATCAATCAGTTTATTATTACGATTCACACTCGCTCCGTCCGGGTTCGCCCCTCCTTACATTTTAACGTTTAGTAATAGATTTCTCATAGAAAAGATATTTCCCGCAGTAAAAAGTATCCCGTATGTTGACCAGGATAACCAGCTATCATCATATCAAATTTCATCCAAATGTGTCCAGTGGTTTTTCCGTGATGGGGTCACAGACAGATAGACAGATAGACAAAACTTCTAAAAACTATACATAGATTCGGCCTTTGTATCGATAATAATTACTTACTATTTCAATAAGATTTTCCAAAAAATATTTCATGTACTGAACCGACTCGGTTAGAATTTTATTATATGTATAGATAAAATAAAGGAGTAGTCTTTAAAGAGTGATGAGCAGATTTTAGAGCGCTCAATTGCTTGGACAGTTTGTGCTCGTCGCTTTTACAACTACCGTACCTTTTATACTATTGAATAAGGATACAATTAAAACAAAATGTTACACAAATTACACAGCAAACGATAGGTAAACTAATAACTACTACATGTCGGGGCGGTGTATGCGTGACAGCTCACCGGCAGGTCACGCGGCACGCGCTGCCCATTGACAAAACTGGGTTTTTCTGGTTCGAGCTGCTGACTATATCAGGCCGAGCGCATCATGCTCAAAGGAAAACGTACACCCTCGCCTTTTGTAGTAGTTTACCTACATATTGGTACAGAATTGTAAGGCTTTGTCTCTGTAAGAATATTTTCTTATATACGTACTTTTAACTGAGGGAGCTGCGAGCTTCATATGGACAACTAAAGTAGAATATTTAAATAAAATAAATAAATAATTTGTGTCAAGTGTAGCTCTGTGGATATACATACCAACTGGTTTCTTAGTGACTGGGTCTTCGTAGTGGCTGTGGTTGCCGATGTACGCGAACTCGTAGTACCACACCGGGTGCTGCGAGTGTCGACACATCAGGTTGACCAATCTGAAAAGTTCATAGACGCCTTAGGTAAGGTAAACTTTTTCCACCAAAATGTGCATTAAACTCTAAATTTTGTTTCATATTCATTATATAGCTAAAGATTGATGGAAAAAGGAAAGCATAATATATATTAATATATTACATAATATTATTGAACACATTCTCATTGGTGTAACCAAACAGCTATTGGAAATTCTCGCGAGCCTAGTGAGTTACAAAAGTATATATAGTTTATACATAACTAGTATAAATTTAATGTTTTGTTAATTTGTATCGGTGCATTTTCTATGGTCCGAACTAACGGACGCGCATTCAACAGTTAAGCCGAATTATCGACCAACAGCAGTTTAGAAAAGCGTATATCCCTAATATTAGCACTTCGAGTCGGATATGAACACAATCCTATGAATGTATACTGCCCTCATAATAAAGAAGGCTCTAACTAACAATTTGGTCCAAAATTATTCAAATGCTGATTCAGAATCAGCAAAAAACAAAGGCTACTTGATAGTTTTACTCATAAAGCTCTAAGTCTTAGGAATCCGGAGATACCATAACCATTTTCATCGTGTCTACGTCAATATTACAACTAAGTACTAAGGCAGAACTTGAAATATATCGAAATCAACTTCGACGAAGTTGCGGCCTTCTTTTTTATGACGGCAGTATATTTTATCAGAATTACTCAAACAACGCAATATATAAATATGTTGGGACATTAATACAGCAGCATCTAGTTCCATGGTAAGCTACGAGGCTTGTGTTGTGAATAACAGACATATGACATATATAACGTTGAAATACATACATATTATAAATATAACCACCCACGACTGAACAAACATTCGTGCTCATCACACAAACGAATGCCCATAGCGGGACTCGAACCACCCGCTGAACTGGCGCAGAGAGTAGGGTCACCACAAACTGGGCCAAGCGTCTCGTAAATTTAACAATCTACCGGCTAACCTGTGGACTGGGAAGCTCTCTATAGAGTCCTGATAGAGGAGGCCCAGGTCGGTCGCGCTCTGCGCGTCGTCGCGCAGCGGCTGGTCGTGAAGGTACTGGCGGCGCAGCGCGGCGGCGGCGTGCGCGGGCTGCGGCGGCAGCAGGAACGATATCGGCGCCACCGACTCCCACTCCGCGTTCATCTTGTCCCGCAGCGTCTGGTTTCTTAGGACAGCTGTTGAAGCATAGAACGGTGTTGGACAATCATGGACAATAATGCTCGATGGGAACCATTCAATGACAAGTGGACTTTGGTTCTAGAGTTACTAAGCTATGCAGAGAATATTGAATAACCCTGTTATTAATATTTTCATAACCCAAGTAGTTTTTACTTTTGTTTCTGTTCTTTATAACCGACTTCCAAAAACGAGGAGATTCTCAATTCGCCGGATCTTTTTTTTTTATGTATGTTCACCGATTACTCGAACAAGCCTGAACCGATTTGGAATTTTTTGTTTTATTTGAAAGGGTGTACTTCCCAGATGGTACCATATAAATTTAATCAAAATCGGTCAAGCGGTTTTAAAAAAAATCAACAATAATTTTTTTTAAGCAAACTGTTTAATCGAATATGTTATTAAAAACTTTCTACTTCGAAGTCGGTGTGCTTTGCTTTGTATGGCTGGCACTGACTTCGAAATTATTTGATTAGGTATGTATAGTAAATGAAAACTACCAGTCAGTTATTTTTTACTTTTTAGTGCTTTTGTTTGAAGTTGATTTTTATTTTTTTGTTAAAAAGTGTTTATTTTTCCCTTTTTAGTGCAGACAGTCATAGCAAAGTAAGAATTTTTACGTGTTAGGCTTGCCAAATGAAACAAAATAAGCCCAAACTCAAAGTATCTACTATTAGCCGTTGAAGAGTTTCACCTATCCACCTTTTGGCCTTACCATCAGATCAGGTCAATAATATCGAACCATTGTACTATCAACGGAAATAGAAACACTTGCAAAGTTTCAAGTCAATATGACAATTAGAAGTAGGTTAAATTCATCATTAGCTATTTTTCCACCCTTAGGGGTGGTATTTTTTTTTGAAATTTAAATAGGACCAATCTGGAAGTATACACTTTCAAACAAAACAATAATTATCCAAATCGGTTAATAAATGACGGAGTTCTGAGGTAACAAACATAAAAAAAACATACAGCCGAATTCAGAATCTCCTTTTTGAGGAAGTCGGTTGAAAATTAAAATAAACATCAATTATGTATAAGGGTAAAATTTTAGTAGATGTAAGTCGTTCCAAAAATATACAATTTTTATATACGTATTAATGGAGAAAGAAATAAAGCTATTGTTATATATATATACGAGTATATATACACTACCGTCCAAAAGTTTGGAAGCAACAAGGTGAAATCAAATAAAAACTTTTTAACAAAAAAATAAAAACCGACTTCAAACAAAAGCACTAAAAAGTAAAAAATAACTGATTGGTAGTTTTCATTTACTATACATACCTAATCAAATATTTTAGAAGTCGGTGTGCTTTGCTTTGTATGGGCTGGCACCGAATTCGAAAATATTTGATTAGGTATGTATTTAATAGGTAGGCTTCAATTACTTAGCCAAAGCACACCGACTTCGAAAATATTTGATTAGGTATGTATAGTAAATGAAAACTACCAATCAGTTATTTTTTACTTTTTAGTGCTTTTGTTTGAAGTCGGTTTTTATTTTTTTGTTAAAAAGTTTGTATTTTTCCCTTTTTAGTGTAGACAGTAGTAGCAAAGTAAGGATTCTAACGTGTTAGGCTTGTCAAATCAAACAAAATAAGCCCAAACTCAAAGTATCTACTATTAGCCGTTGAAGAGTTCCACCTATCCACCTTCTGGCCTTGCCATCAGATCAGATCAACAGTACCGAACCACTGTACTATCAACGGAAATAGAAATACTTGCAAAGTTTCAAGTCAATATGACAATTAAAAGTAGGTTAAATTCATCATTAGTTGTTTTTCCACCCTTAGGGGTGGTATTTTTTTTTGAAATTTAAATGGGACCAATCTGGAAGTATACCCTTTCAAACAACACAAAAATTGTCCAAATCGGTTAATAAATGACGGAGTTCTGAGGTAACAAACATAAAAAAAAAAAAAAAAAATACATACAGTCGAATTGAGAACCTCCTCCTTTTTGAAGTCGGTTGATAAAACGAAAGAAAGCCATCTAAATATATTTTTATTGATATAAAATCAAAAATTCAATAAAAACTAACTTAAATAATATAAACATTTTACATAGAATATGAAAATTAAATTAAATTTTAGCTTCATCGAAGTATCTACCTTTTTCTTTTATTGTAATGTCGCATGTTCTAGGCATTCTATTAATTATTTTTTTATAATAATTTTCATCGAACTTCTTCTATTCGTTCTTTAATCGTTCCCACAAATGTTCTGAGCTTGTAGGAGATCGATTTTTCACCCTTCTATCGAGTTTATCCCAAACAAGTTCAATGGGACAAAGATCAGGCGCATGAGACAGCCATTGCATGATTTTTAAAAACCCTTTCACTATTTTTCTTGTTCAAAAAATTCTGGTATAGTTTAGAAGAATGCTTAGGATCATTTTCTTATTGAAAAACGAATTCAGGACCAATGAGGTTCAGTCCACTGGGCATGGCGGAATCCTGAAGAAGTTTCAAATAGTCTTTCTTGTTTAGTTTTTTGGCTATCTTTACAAGATTTCCGGGTTTACTGTGGCCAAAACACCCCCAAATCATAACATTACCACCACTATGTTTGGTAATAGGTACAGTACATGCTTCTGAAGCCCTCTTTTTTTTTGACTGGCGTACAAAAACACATCTATTAGGTTCCATAATCTGAACTTTGATTCGTCACTCCAAAGAAATTTTCCCATTGGTCTATTGCCCACTTTTTATGCGTCTTTGTCCATTCTAGAGTCTATTTTTCTTATTTAGAATTGTTAGTATTAGTTTTTTAGCAGCAACACATCCTCTTAGCACCACAGAAAGTAGACGTCTTTTAACAGTTTATTGAAATGGGTGTTCCTCGCGTATCCATCAGAGCTGCGGTAATTTGTGACACATTTAAGTGTCGATTCCGTTTTGTAAGAACTCTGATGAAGTTATCCTCTTGATTTGTATTGAATTTGAACCTACCAGATCTTTTTCTGTCTTCATTTTTACCAGTTTATTGTTTTCTAGGAAGGGTGTAGTGTACACCTTTACAAGAAATTCCAAGCTTATCTGCGATTTGGCGTTCACTGTATCCTTCCTCACATAGAGCACGAATAGCGCTCCGCTATTTAGCTGTGATTTGCTTACGTTTTGCCATTTTCAAAAATAAAATTACGGTCTAAGTACTACTCAAAATCTTTTGAATACAGACAATGTTAATATCCCAACTTTTGCGTGCCAATGCTCAAGTACGACTAAATAAGATCCAAAAAAGATTAAACTACAAAATATTTTCATTAAAACCGCACCTTTGCGTAAAAGAAAGCACCCGACGGATTAAGTAATAAAACACGTGTTTCTTCAAAATCAAGAAATTTGGTAAAATTTAATGAATGTGCAATGATAATCCTTTTGTTGTGTAAACAATCGTAAAAGGTCATAAAACTTGGTTTTATTGCTAATTTTTACCGCACATAGTCGGTAATTTTTTATTATGTTTAAAAACAGATGTGCTTCCAAACTTTTGTACGGTAGTGTGTATATATATACATACATTCAGCGATTCATTTTTATATTATAGATATGTTAAGATTAAGTATAATAATGTAACACCAACTGAAAGCCATCCAAAATAATTCATCGTGAGTTTGACTGACGATGTACGGCACCGTGTGCATTTTGCCCTGTTTGATGGCGTCAGCCGGCTCGATGGACAAGAACCTCTCTTGGCCGAAGTCTTTTTCAATGACTGGCCCCCAGATAAGAATTGGATCAAATCCAAATTCCTGAAATCCAATAATTCATGTACGTTAATAAATATGGGAAAAGAACAACAAGAAGTATGTAAATGATAACGATATTATTGTATGCTATTTTTAATGGTGTTAAAATATTTTACATACTTTAGGTTTTACCATTATAGTAAGATATGCAGTTATTTGCATTCTGATGCTATAAATAAAGAACGAGACCATCTCAAATAGTTTAAATATGAATACTTCGATTGCTTACATAAAAACTATTTAGAGAATCTCCGAGTTCCCTCCAAGGTTTTGTCTTCAAACAGTCAATGATAACTTTAGAGTTCGTAGTGGGACAATTGAGTAACTCCGCCTGCTTCACAGCCAGCTGGTAGTAGTTGTCTGGAGTCGGGCTACTCATAATGGGCGAACCACTCATCGAAATACCACGGTGGAAAAGACCTAAAATTTTAAAAGAATAAAGATGTTAAAAAAGCTACGTCTCGTTTGATTTCTTATCTACTTTTTTAAAGAATTTTAATTCTGATATTCATTAAAAAATAAACAAAAATTAGACTTGCAACGAATAATACTAGGCTAGTATAGGCTTTCTGGCCGAATAACCGAATATTAGGCAAAAATATTCGGCCAGCGCGTGGCAGGAAAAGTTTTATCTACTTACGTGTTTATTTTTTGTTTGGCGCCAGAAAGTAGTATTTATTCAGTGTCTTTTCTCTAAATCTGGGATTGTCTAGGAGTAAACTACTTACTGCCTGAAAATACAGAAAAAATGTCTTTTTGCACCGTAATCTTCCACTTCTAAATTTTAATTATAATGATCAAGTGCATAGACATTTATTTGATAGTTTCTTTTGTAAATTTTTATAATAAAGTAGGTGATTATGTACCTATGACTTCTTTAATGATTATTTATTATAATAAGAAAAATATAATATTATAAAATAAATCAATATTTTCATTTTATCAATAGAAAATATGCATGATTTTTTTTTCAGTTTTTTATAAAATAGTTCACATCGTTATATAATTGTAAAAAAAAACCAGCTCCAAAAAAACAAAATTTAATATATAAACATTTTATACCGCTACGGATACTTTAAACGCTCGCCATTTCGTGCGCTTGGCGTGACGTCACAGTATGATATACACAGAGAAATAACTACTCAATTAGTCAGCGAAAAAAATCGCTAATCGCTCTGTTATAATATACTTTGACGTAATATTCGGTCTGACCAATGGCGTTGCGTTTCAACTACTTTGATTTTCTCTCCTGTATTTGCACTTTTTATCCCTATTATTATCTGATTACAATAAAACATCTGACTTATGTATTCGGTATTAAGCCAAATAGTATTTAGATATTCAGTATTCGGCCGAATACGATAAAAGTAGCCGAATAGGCCGAATACCGAATAGTAGCTGAATATTCGTTGCAAGTTTAATAAAAATATTATTTTTTAAATAATGTAATTCTAATCGATTTCGGCTAACGCAGCAAATCTCATTGTGACTACCCAACTCCGTGGGAAGGTTAGTGCACAATTGAGTATACGCACACAAATGGACTCTGTGCCTTTAATATTTTTGAGATTAGACGTGAACCAAAAGTTTTAATTGCTCTCAGAGACGTGAAGTTTCCGCACCGCCAACTTCCCCGCTCCCAACTTCGCCTGACCATTGACTATATCGTGTTAGAATAATTAAGTCACCGTAATTGAAGACACTACCTTTTGACATGGGCGAGATCATATGCAGCATGACGCTAGTAGAGCCGGCGCTAGTGCCCGCGATGGTGACGCAGTTCGGGTCTCCGCCAAACGCCGCGATGTTACGCTGCACCCACTTAAGTGCCGCCACTTGGTCCTTGAAGGCGTTGTTGCCGGGCGCCAGCTTGTCGCCCGTACTTAACAAACCTGGAAATGAACACATTATGGAAATAGTACTTCAGCCATAACAGCGTATCGAGGAAGTAAGCCTACACGCTCACTCTTTCACGAATTGATGATTTACAACGTTTTTGTACTGTTCTATTTAATTATATACTTAATTTATAATAATTTATAATTTGGTCATGGGTTATATTTATAATATGTATGTATTGAAAGTTATATGTGTGTAGTGTATCAACTATCTGGTATCCATAACACAAGTCTCGTAGCTTACCACGGAACTAGATTGTGCTGTGTGTTAATGTCCCAACATATTTATTATTTATTTATTAATTTAAACAAAATATATCTCCAAAGAATTAGCGAGCTAAAGTAACAGGCTGATCATATTTGAAGCAATGCAGAACCAATGACATTGATGATCATTAATTATAGTAGAGACTACGGTTCGCCACGCGTAGTGTAGGGTGCCCTCTAGCTAGGTGAAGGGAAGTTATATATAAAGTGGCTAACAGCGGTTGTATACATTGAGCTGAAGATCGAGTTCAGTGACATGTTACAGGAGAGGCGTATGTCCAGAGGTAGACGAAAGCAAGCTAATTATTTTAACATTGATACTGATGAGAATTTACCCTTTGAAAAACAATGAATAAGGATTTTTCTCGATATATAATTAATTGGTATTTTTACTACCCTTACAATTGCGGAGATTTCCGTTAACTATTACCTTTATAAGTATTTCTATTTTTATATTGTGGTAGTACGCTTACCGAGTGAGCCAAGTCGGTAGTTGATGGTGACGAGCACGAGATCGCGGTCGAGCAGGTAGTGCGGTCCCGCCAGGTCGCTGCGTCCCGTAAACGAGTAGAAGCCGCCCGGGTGCATGAAGAATATCACTGGCAGCGGCTTACTTCTGCAAGACCATAATGTATCAGAATCTATACATCTTCACTACACAGTATAAAACAAAGTCGCTTCCCACTGTCTGTTTGTCCCTATGTATGCTTAGATCTTTAAAACTACGCAACGGATTTTGATGCGGTTTTTTTAATAGATTTTTAATAGATTTATCAGAGATGAGGTATTTCCCCGCAGTAAAAAATATCCTATATGTTGACCCGGAAAACCAGCTATCATCATACCAAATTTCATCAACATCTGTCTAGTGGTTTTCTTGTGATGCGGTAACAGACAGACAAATAGAAATTCTAAAAACTATAGATCCGGCCTCTGTATCGATAATAATGTCTATTTCAATAAGATTTTCCAAAAAAATATTTCATGTACAGATTCGGCTCACTTAGAATTTGAAGATAAATGCAAAAGTTAGTACGTGTATGTAAGTGTTTCTGTGTTTGTTACTCCTTCACTCTGAAATAGCTGGATGGATTTGCATGAAATTCAGTACACATAGGCTAGTGCAAGGCCAAGAGAAGGACCCGAGCGAAGTGAGTGTAAGTTGTTAGTTGATCATATTACATTAAACGTTATGTTTTTTCTCACGGAAATTAAATGGTTGGCCCTTACAATATAAATATTTGATGGTACTTAAAGTTTGTATTTTTTTAATTTAAATATTTTGGAAAATTTTGGGACAATCCAGACTTACGAAAAGAACTAATCAGTAATACTTTCTTATGATACTTTCTTAGATTTACGCGAATATTTGATATTTTAAATAAAATAAAACTATCTTTTCGGATTAATTCGCAGATTTATTTTGATTTTTGGTTCCCAACGTTTGGAATGCTTTACAGCAATCATGGTCACGGGAGAGACTAAGGTTTTAGACGTCTCGAAGGCGTTATATACTTGTTATAGACGGTGCTTACTTTACAAAAATGATTTCAAAAATTCAAAAATGGCACCAAAGTACCTTACAATATTTGTTGATTTTAATTCTAAACATTTAAAAAAATATATAATAAGTATTATAATATTAAGTAATGTTAAAAAATAAAATAAAGTGAATCGGTGAACATAGATGAAAAAAAAGATTCCGACGAATGAGAACCTCCTCCTTTTTGGAAGTCGGTTAAAAATTAACTTTAACGTTTTTGATAATTATTTACATACAAATCTAAACGTTTACCTATTTGCATTGTATATAATATAATTCCAATTGCCTCGGTGGTGTAGTGGCTAGTAAGTACACTAGGCTGCACATCGAGAGGCCCTGGGTTCGAGTCCCGGATAACTCAGTAACAGCCCGGAGTTGGGAAGTTGGCGGTGTTTCACTCCCGTGCCTCGGAGAGCACGTAAAGTTGTAGGTCCTACGCCTTAACTCTCACCGGTCATGTCGAACAGTTGTCCCCCCAGATTATGAGAGTGACAGGAATAGAGAGTGCACTTGTGTCTGCCGCACACACTTGTGCACTATAATATCTCCTGCGCAGATGGCTAGTCACAATGAGACTGGCCACCGTGGCCGAAGTCGGTCGGGTCGGTCATTATTATTAATATAATTCCAAAGTTGCAAGTTAATCCGAAAAATCCGAAAAAGGATTGAAAATTTTGAATTAATAAATACTGTTATATATAATTTATTACAGTTTTATTTGTTTTGGTAAAATATCAATACCTGTCTTTTTTTAGCGGCGTGTAGACATTGATGGTGAGGCAGTCCTCGTCGACGGGGTAGCCGGGCAACGCGGGCAGCGGGCACGCCGGCCCGTCCTCGCGCGCGTCCACCGGGGACTTGTACTCCAATATCAGTTTTGGAGGCTAGCAATATAACATATAGTTTTATTCCGATTCTGGGACCCGACGTTTCGAATGCTTTGTTTACAGCAAATACATTTTACAACGTAACTTCACAAAGCATTTGGCATTTACGTGTAATGGAATTTGTCAAAGACAGCCCTACCAGAATCGTATCTTCCTTTTTAGAATGATATCTTTGATAACATTCTAAAAAAGGAGATTTCTTTCTTTCTTTTCTCCGACTTACTTTGCAAATCCGACTACCATGAAAAAGTCTTTTCATTTTTCGGGTTAATATATAGCCTATGATACTCAGAAAGAACGTGACCTTCTATTGGTAAAAAAATTTTGAAAATCGGTTCAGTAAATCCAGATTACCCCCTACAACATCACAAACTCACAATATCACAAACTTTACCTCTTTATAATATAATAGTATAGATGTAAATTTTTGAGGCTACTAAAAGGTTTTTAAACATTTTCAATTAAAAAGTCGGATAAGTTTAGTAAAAAACGTATTAAAATCATTGAAATTACTGTACCAGCGGACGCGGATTCGAATTCCGCTGGGGGCATTAATTTGTGTAATGAGCATGAACGTTTGTACTCCAGTCGTCGGTGTTTATATTTATAATATGTATGATTAAGTTATATATGTGTAGTGTATCAACTATCTGGTATCCATAACATAAGCCTCGTAGCTTACCATGGAACTAGATGGTGCTGTGTGTTAATGTCCCAACATATTTATTGTTATTAACGCTCACCTGAAACCGCAGCTCTCCGACAGGGGGCTCGGCGTAGCGGATGCCGCGGTAGGTCTCGAACTGTCGCCCGCGGCGCGTCACGTTGTAGCCGCCGCGGAACTCGCCCGACGGAGACACTGCCACCGGCTGCTTGGGTAGCTCTAAGGATATATGGATAGCTTTTACAATAATACTAACACCTAATGCTGACCTTGCTGAATTAGACTTTAGCAAAATCATGTTGTCAATGTAATCAAGACAAGCAAGTCAAATAAAACCGTTAACATATCCAGGTAAATTTCTAAGAAATTAATTACAATTCTAAGAAATCTATTGTTAGCTGACACGCCGGTGTGTCCGCGGTCGTAGAGGGATTAATAAACAAAATAAATAGTAAAAACTTACTTCTTATTGATCTTTTTATTTATAAACTAGCATTTTACCCTTGTTTCGCTCCAGTCCCTAGGTACCTTTTAAAATGATAAAAATAGTTATTGTGAGTGTAGGCACCTTAGGAGACGCGACAAGCTTTTATGTTATATAAAAAGTGTTATGTATAAATTGGTAGGTTTGATTTAATTTAAAGTATTTTCTTTTTTTTAGAGAGTTTAAATAAAAGCTTTTCTTTATTAATGTTTATTTTATTTTATTTTTTTATGTTAGTTTTTATTTATTAGTATTCTTCTCAGCAAACCTTTTCATTTGATATACATATCATGGGGGTGCATAAAAAATAGTCCGTCATCTTTGGAAGTCCGCTATATTGGATTTAGAATGACGTCACTTATTGTTAGCTAATCATGCATTGTCATCCAAATAAGCGTGTATGCATAAGCTCAATCGGTTGATAGCTGCATTAAAATTTAGCTGCATATACGAGTATATATATATATATATATATATATATATATATATATATATATATATATATATATATATATTTATAAAAATACGTTTTTCTGTAATTTGGGGTGTGACACTTAAACACTTAATTGTTATTTGTATTGAACCTGTGTGCTTTATTGTTTTTGATTTTTCTTTTTCTTGTAGAAAACCTAAATTTGCATTTTGGCACCAACTTAAATTTTTTATGAAAAAAAATGTATACTTTCTTAGATTTACGCGAATATATGATATTTTAAATAAAACTATTTTATCGGATTATTTCGCGGATTTATTTTGATTTTTAGTTCCCGACGTTTCGAATGCTTTACAGCAATCATGGTCACGGGAGAGACTGAGGTGTTAGATGTCTCGAAGTTTTCAATTTATCAGACAAGAACAACCAATGTCCAGAGACTGAGAGTGATCTGTTTACAGCAAGCGAGCCCTGACTTTTTCGTGGTCCTTGACCTCCCGCGACCGCGACCTGCATCGCGGTGACACACTATCGGAGCTACTTATTAGGTACAATAACACAAAGGTTTTATATACTTTTATATTATACTTATACATCCATATTTATATATAGGTATAAAACAAAGTCGGGTTTGTTACACCTCGAGAACTGCTGGACCGATTTTTATGATCTTTTGTTGGATTTGTATTCACCCCGAATAGCAGAATAACTATTAAAACATCGCAAAAATTCACGAAAAAAATCGAACAACAAATAATTTCCATACTAAGCGTCAACACATATCTAGGGACGAACCTGAGCGAAGTGAGGGTGAGTCGCTAGTTATTAATATAAGTTATGTGTGAACCTCCGGAGAGCTTACAACAGAAAAATCTCATGAAATTCTCTTGGTCCCACGAAGCACATGGTGAATCAGGATAAATAATTTGTATGACACTCATCCGACCCATAAACAACTTCTTTGCAAAAAACACCAAAACTAACCTGAGTTGTGGTCATGGTGGTGATCAGATGTGTGCTGGTGGTCATGGTTGTGGTGGCAGTGGTCGTGAGAGTCATGGTCATGGTTGTGGTGGGAGTGACTCCACACTCCCGCCACCAGCAACAATGTACAGAACAATGTCTTCATCTTGTAAGCTCAATCGTACTGACTGGAAAATTCACTCGACCCCATATTTATAGGTACAGTACACAAACTCGCAGGTGGCGCGGACGTACGGCGCGGGCGTACGGCTTAGGTACCTATCAATACTATGACAATACTTAATAGAATAATAACAAACAAGTTATCAATAATTCTAGTGCGATTAGTAGCAATATGAAAGGAAACAAAAAGCAAAAGGAAAAAACATAAGGAAAATTCTGTGAAATTATTTAAACTACAAAATTGTACATGAATCGCTGCCTGCTTGTATAATAAATTGGGTATAATTCACCTCTTAATAGAATCATGAGATTATATAGTTTAATAAGCAGGAATAAGGGCATTGATATCTTTAATAATAACTTGTTGAGTTTTAAAAAAAGATTTTTGTTCTTATAGTCATAATATTATACGTTACGTTTTAATGTTTAGTATAGATTTCTCAGAGACGAGATATTTTCCCGCAGTAAAAAGTATTCTATATGTTGACCTGGATAGCCATCATCGTACCAAATTTCATCATAATCTCTCTAGTGGGTTTTTTGTGATGCGGTCACAGACAGACAAAAATTATAAAAACCATAGATTAGGCCTGTGTATCTATAATAATAACTATTTCAATAATATTTTCTTATTAATATTTAATGTACAGATTCGACTCAGAATTTTATTATATATATAGATCGACCGCAAGTATGTAGGTACATAGAGAAACATAGACATACTGTTTACTGAGCTAGTAGCCTTGCACTGAATTTACTACACATTTTGTGAGATAAGATAAATAAAACTACTGCCTTAGACTGCTGGATTAATTTGAAAGTATATTTGAGTAACAGAAAAGGCCACATAAAGTAAATAAATAAATCATCCCTATATAGGCTGGACGATAACCAAACCATAGGGCGATTCAACTCGATCTTAGCGGCCATCTATTTATATATATCATAACAAAAACTAAAAAAAACTATATCATTAATAAAATAAAATAATCGGGTAATAATGCGTAGAGAATAATTTTCTTGATGGCAGACTCTGGCCCCCATCGATCGCGGGGCCCTGGGCACTTACCCAGAGTGCCCAATGGAAAAGAGGGGACTGTTAACTCGTAATCTAGCGTTTGAATGGACAGATTTGAAACCATTATAACTTTATAGCATGTAGAGATCAGACGTGATTAGGTATATGCTATTAATGTAAACTACCCCTAAGTAATGTTATGAATGAATTAAATAAATCACAAAACAATCGACAAGACGCGGTTCGGTTGAATTGTCTTAAAGAAAGATTAGAAACTCGTATTCATCTCATAAATGAATAAAAGATACATAAAATCTTAGTATTTATATGTGAAATATCAATATTCAAATTAAAAATATTACAGAAATGCTTTAAGGAAAACGAGTCATAAAACGCCGAGCGCCGATGGGCTGGGATTCCCCGCGCACTTGCGAGACCGCTCGGGAAATCGTTCGCATAATTTAAGCGTTTGCGCTATCGGTAAACAGGCTATGAAATATAATTCTTTATATTTTAACGTAATTTCTTTATTTCATCATGATTTTTAAATTTTGGTTTCGTGCAATGCAAGAGCAATGTCCGAGCAGGACAGGACTTCAATTTTTTTCCATTTTCAAACTATTAATTATATCATTATTATTATACTAGAAGTGAATTTATTGACTAATTTACCGATCATATAATGGTAAAAAAGATAAACATTCGTATTTAGTGCTATTGCTTGCTTTGCTCAGCAATGCCAGGGACCGCTCACCGTCAGATGTACTCACTGGTAGCTTTACAATTATGCTATTACTATGTTCACAGACAAGGACAGTTAAAAACATCATATTAGGTATCTACTATGATTACCTATATGAGGAAGTGTGACCGAAGACAACACAAAATGAAGACTCTTTACGAATACACAATTATCTATATTATCTCATCTCCTGACAAATAGTCACAATTGAGTTTTTTTCCAAGACTAGTGTCCTCTTTATACATATATACGAGTGAGTACTACTTGTTACAAATACTTACTAACTACTTACGAAGTGTAAGAGTATACTAATATGTAAAACCTAAGAATTTGGTTTTTTGGTCATCTGAACGCGCAGTGGCAGTGCTAGTTTTTTATTAAATTAGATTAATTATAATGTTACATAAAAGTATTCAACTAATCAAACCAAATAATTGTTAAACAAGTTTTAAATACTTATAATGCATGCTATAAGCTTTGTTAAAAATATATTATTAAAGTAATGATAAATATATAAAATTAAATAAAATTTAACTTATGTACCTATTATGATTTGCTAGATTTTATTTATGTTATATGTAAGTTAATTTATTTCATTCAAATTACCTAATTATCTAGTTATTCATTAAAAATCATTCATTAATCATAATGTTACATAAAAATATTCAATTGATCAAATCAAATAATTGTTAAACCAATTGTAAATTTTATTTTTTTATTAAGGAAATAAAAGGTTTATTATTATTATGTTATTTATTTTTACATTTTTAATTTTATATTTTATCTACTTCAACGCAAATAGAGAATAGTGCTTGTGGATGTTTCATAAAAATACACACACACGAGGAAAACTGCAGTCAACAGTTAGTAAGTAATACTTTTCCGATTTTTTCGCAGGTTTATTTTAATTTTTGCTTCCCGTTTCGAGTGCTTTACAGCAATCATGGTCACGCGAAAGGCTTTAGTCATCTCAAAGGTCAGTAATCAGTAACAATATACTCGTAGTTGTTACAGACAGCACGTACCCATAAAATTATATTAGAGCTGTACTTAAAGTTATTTTGCGAAAACCCTTTAAATACCCAACTTCCCAAGTCTATTCAGAAACTAACGTATTGACGGTCCGACAGCTCTTCGTGCTCATGTCGACTCTAAGAGGACACAGGAATGTTAGCCCATCAAATTCAAATAAACGAACAAACCTTCCACCAAATGTGCAACACAAAACCTCGTTTGCTAAACACCAATTCTTTGTCCTAAGTGTACATATTTATAGAAACCTTCATAAAAAATAAACATTATAGATTTAAATACCCACGACCTAAAACATAAACTTACGGACTGGCTTCTAAAACAGGATTACTCGAACACAGAATCACTGCTGATCTACTCCAGATAAGAATTACTTTTTTTCATATAATCACTACCCATTCACAAAAAACTCTCTCTCTCACACACACACTCAAACGCAACACACTCACACACCCATCACAGACACATACATATATACATATAGCACCAACCAACAGCTCAAAATTGCACACTCGCAAATTAAACAGATAATTTAATTCAGACAATATTTTGGGGGATTGGCACTGTATGCCGTAATACAGGTCTCCTAGTACGGCAGCAGAGACAACCGTATTATTTGTATTGATAGTCTAAATTGTTTGTTTCAAAATGTACAGTTCAATATGCTTTTCAACTGCAATATTTATTACTATTTCCAAGTTTGTGGGTATACAAACTCGGAATAATAGTAATAAAAGATTACCCTGATTGATTAATGACTCAAAAATACAAACATGGCATCAAGCAACTTTTACAGGTTTAATAGGTTTTATACTTGAATATTAAATTTTATGGTTAATAAGTGATTAAAACAAACATTTATGTTGTCATATAATTTAATATCCAGTCTCTATATTTGGCGACATCTGTAAACACTGTATAGGCATTAGAGTCACAAATATAAGAATCTTTGCGAGCCAAAGTGCTGGAAACGATGCCTTTTACATACCAAGCGCCAGGTACATCTATAAAAGGAATAGTAGGGTTATTCGTTGTAATATCCCTCACGAATACAACAAAGCCTCCTCCGCTATCTCCATTGCATGCGCTCGTGCCTATAATAGAACATAATTTAATACACAGTGATGTATTTAAATTTTGTGCCTTAAGTTATAACTTGTTATATAATAATATTAATTTTATAGTCTGTGGCACATAATTAAGATATTGTTGTTATCTGTAAATATACCTATCTATGATTCTTAGTATATCGAGTGCTACATCTTTTATTTATCTCCTCCACATAATCCAGTAGTAGTAATCAACAAATAATTAAATTAATTATGTGTTAAACAAAGCACATTACGAGTACATTTTGACGTTTGTTGATTTAAGGTCATTATATCAAACTAGCAACTAACCCTCGCTCTGCTCGGATTCGTTTCTAGTTTCGTTTCAACGTTTAATATAGATTTCTGAGAGATGAGATATTTTCCCGCAGTAAAAAATATCCTACATGTTGACCCGGATAACCAGCTACCATCATACCAAATTTCATCAAAATCCCTCTAGTGGGTTTTCCGTGATGCGGTAACAGACAGACAGACAAAAATTCTAAAAATTATAGATTTGGTCTCTGTATTGATAATAACTATCATAAGATCATTAAGATTTCATTAAGATTTTCCAAAAAATATTTAATGTCCACTCTGCTATCAGACAAGTACCAGGAGCAACCCACATGGTACAGCACCCACTGAGGTAGAACACGTTCAAGTGTGTCTTTTAGCTTCACTCTTGGTTGGATTGCTAACCTCTAATAAGACCCCAACCCCCACCCCACCCGTTCGCTACCCTACCTGCTACGACAAGATATAGGCCCAACCTACACATAGGAGGTACAACCTATTCATTAAAACTAGAATCACGAACATCGTTTACCAATTAGCGATTATATTCTCTAACATTTACACGAAAAATGAAACCAAATTGAGCTCCTCACCATTACTTTGTCCAGCGCAAAACGTTTTTCCGTTTAACATATTTGTATAAAAAACAGGTTCATATCGTATACACGTTACGTCTGCAACTATCGGCATTGTTGCTGTTCGAAGGTTCTTTGCCAATTTTTCTAACTGATCAATTCCCCATCCTACTACCTGAAATTTTATAATTTACTGGCTTTAATATTTAGCGTGGAGTACTGAGACAAGCACTTGGTGATTTATTGTGTTCTAAACTAGTATAATTTGTTAAAACACGTATTTTACTACAAGAACTATTGTAATAGTGAATAAATCAATATAAATTACGTTTATTTTATTATTTGTACGCTTCTACTCTGTGCGTTCCTAAAGCATTCATCCGATTATGATGAAACTAGTGAGTAGTTATGAGTATGCTTGCAAAAGTTGCTAGCCAAAAAAAATCTTTAAAAGTTTGTCCTGTATACGTTTGTTAACCATTCACCCCTAGGGACGCACCCGGTCGAAGCGAGATTGAGTCGCTGGTTCTCTATTGTATAATATCTTATATGTTGTCTAATCCTCTAGGCTATCTTGTAACAAGTAGTATATTATACTCTCTATCTCTACACAAAAAAGTGTTAGTAATAGTAGCTGTATAAAATCCTTACAGTCCCATGTACTTCATAAGAGGGCAGTTGATCATATATGTCATCTAGCCAAAGACAGGCTGGTTGAACGTAATTGTTGAAAACAGCTTCTGAGCTTAATTTTAACAGAGCAATATCATTATTTAAAGTTTTGTAAGCATAGTCTTCATGAATAATCACTTCGTGCACCTGAAAATAATTAAAAAATATATAAATAGAATAAAACGTAAAAGTATAGTGGAGTCACTACACAAAAATTTACTTACATATACTACTTATAAATAAAATGTTTTTGTTTTAAAGGCTTACTGTGTAAAAAAGGAAAAAAAGCGTTTGTATTTCTTTGCGTTTGCTAGAAAGCTGATGTTTATTTTTCTATACTCTTTAAAAGGATAAATTTTAAAAACCTCTTTATCCTGAGCAGTTATTTCATTTCCAAAAACTTTATGTTTTCCTAAAGCCACTCCAAGTATTTCTGGGTTGATTGCTACACCACGGATAGTAGCGCAATGTGCAGCTGTAAAGAACATAAAAAAATATCATGTCAAAAATCGTTTAATATAAGAATTCGTAGCCCAGTCACGTTAAAATTATTAATGGATATCTGGATGACATGTATTAACATAAATAATATGATACCGTCTATTTATAATATAAATAACTTGGTTAGAGCTTCGATATACATATTCGATATACATACTCAGTAAACTTTTCCCAAGACTAACTTAAACAAGCAAGCGTAAATTATAGGTATTAATGTTTTATCATACATTCCTCAAGATTCGTTACCTGTTAAAACTAAAAATTTTGATATGAGTGTTCCTCCGCAAGTATATTGTAAAATGCCTTTATTGGATCTATATATCGCTGTATGCCACGGCCAGTCACCAGCTCTACCTTCAGCACCACTCACTATTAGTGGAATACATTGTGCACTAATTCGTCGTCTGCCACAAAATTTATTAGGTGCTGCAGCCCAAAATGATGCTCGCCCGGTATAAGGCGCTAATCGATGGAAATAGGTCTGAAATATAAAAAAAAAATTTTAAATCTAAAGGCTGGATGTTTCTAATAAACAATAAGAATTGCAAGCTCTTGTAGCCCCGGAGGCTCTCCACTATCACAGTCATGAAAATTACTAATTTAAAAAAGCAACTGATGAGGTTCTTTTCTCCAGAAACTTTCCGAACTGTTGGTAGATTCGTCGAGGACCAACTACACTGACTATCTTTGAAATAAAGTACTTGCATAAGTCTAATTGAATAAAGTTAATTTTCATTTTCAAATTTAAAAAATCAGATATAAACTTTATACTTACTAAATCAGGATTTTTACAATTTTCCACGCCATCAATTTTAAGGCTTAGTATATATGGTGGCTGATATGGGTATTGCTTTCCTTTAATGGTGAAAATAAATTCATTTACATCATTAAGCAGTACGAAAGAGAAAATATTGGTGAAAGGATCTATTTCTGAAGTAAACCTTGCATTATATGTACCGCTAGTGTCTTCCCCGCCCTAGAAAATGAAATTAACATGTCAATGTACAAATGTAGGTACATAAATGGCAAACATTAAACGGGACCTAAATTCACATTTGGACAGGAATTTTAATATTATTAGTTCCCTTTTATTTGAAGCCTTACGTATTACACGCGATAAAACAAATCCAATAAGTTCAAATTTGAAGGTTTTAAATATCAATCATTGAAGGGTTCCACTACCCTATATCAGGTATCACCATATCGCAAATTAATCGTACTGTCATCGAAAATATACCTATGTATTTGTTGCAAGTCAATAAAATAAAAATACTGGGTTAATTTGCCAAATTCAACCCTTTTTACGTTACGTCACGGGCCTCCCACGAATAAGAAGGAAAATAGACCTTAGTCCATCACGCTTGCTAATCGTGGGTTGGCCGACTTCACATGTCTTTGAAAATATAAAAAAAATTATATGTGCATGTATGTATGTTTGTTACTTCTTCATGCTAAACGCTTTACAAAATTGGATAAACGTCGGTACACAGATAGACTATGACTCGGAAAAACACACAGGAACCGCAGGAACGAAAGTGATTAGTTTATAATATTTAAAATAAAACTATCTGTTTGGATTTTTCGTCCGAAAGTCCGGAGAGATGGTTCATGGTTATATTTAAAATGTCAAATATTCATAAATCTATCATATAATTAGTATTAGTTTGAAATACTTACAAACTGTATATTCCCTTCGGAATCCAATTTCACCTTTATTTCTGTTGCTGCGGGAAGGTGTTTACTTATCACAACCTTGTAACCATAAGTTAATCCAATATAAAAAACAGATGTAATATTATCATTTCCGACACAACATTTCTCAGAATACCGTGGTCTTGAATGAATTGGAGTACTCTCAATTTTTAACATAACAAAAATTACTATAAGCACTTGCAGTACTTTTATTTGTATCATCTTCACTACTTATGAATTCAATATCAATATGAATTATATTAAAATACGTATATAATAAATAATAATATAGAAATGGATCCTGCGTTTAATTTTGCTTTCGATCTTGTGTGACCTCTTATCTGTGTTAGGTTCAGACACTGCTTTTAACGATGTATTTACACCAACATATATAACACCAACGGACAGCCCCGACTTCATCTAAATAGTTTTCTTAATAAGATATTATGAGACAAAATTAATTTTTACTATCTTAAAATGTTTTCAATGAAATCCTTATAGGTTTTTAATTTATTTATCTTATATTTATATGTAAACTAATTATTATCTACCTTTCCTAACAAAAATGATTCACTTCCCCGTTTCATTACTTCCATAGAAGCATTTAAAAAAAATCTACGCATAATAATAGCATTATTAAAATAAACTTTATCAAAATATGTATCCATATCCATTTTTTGAAAATGTCATAATAATACCATACAGACAGACAGACAAAAATTCTAACAACTAAAGGTTTGGCCTGTGTATCGATAATTAAGTCTATTTCAATAAGATTTTCAAAAAAATATTTAATGTAATTTATTATATGTATAGATAGATGTTGTAGTTAGTAGTTATAAGTGTCTTTCTAAGATTGTGATTAGTCTGTGACTACCTAACCTATATCTAACTATATAATATTATGGCTTAATCGAACTTGAATGATTAAAATATTAACAACTAACTGTCCGCAAAATAGACACAATAGTTAAACCACGGTAATGTTACATACAGTATTCCATCTTAATACAAAAGGTCGGAAATCGAGTTATACCTACGCGCGTCGCGTTCGGTATACACTCGGTAGACAACCGTGCGGGGCTACCACATCGTATAATTTGATACGAAAATTTTATAAGATGGCTATGTTATGTAATTTTTATAATTGGATACAAAAATAAACATTTTATTCCTCCCGTAAATTCGCTATTATGTCAAACAAAAAAGTATCGAGACATCTTATGTTTTAAAAATAAAAACTAATTAATTAAATTAAAACAAAAATTAAAGTATTTTTAATTAAACTTTTTATCCGAATGCGGATTCTTTATACTATTAAATTTAACAATAAAGCTTTTCGTATGTCTCAGTCGAGGTGCAAATATTTTTAAATCTCAAATTTATAAGGGTCACATACCACCCTTATAAATTTGAGGGTTTTTAATTAAATCTACTAATAATATTTTTTAAATAAAATATATAATATTTGAAATCACAAAACTAGATCACAGCCCTGTCGCGTGGGTACGTGCCGCTCGGCTGTAGGTAATTATTTCAAGGACAGGCCCAAGTTGGAATACTGTATGCATTACATTACCGCGGTTAAACAATCGAAATTTTCATATATGACTCATGGGACAGGGAAATGGTTAATTATTAATAAGCAAGAACACAATATCCCTACACTCGCATTGTCTCCTCTTTTAATATTAATTACTTATATAATTGAAATTGATATATACCAAACAATTAAAGAAGGCATAATGTACAATGCGTGATAAGTCTGGACTTAAATCTGTGTCAGATTTACTTCAAGTACTAACCTAATTGACATGTTAGAGTACTGGTATGGAAAATAATCCAAAAGGGTATTAAATTAAATTAAAATATTTCCAAAAATTAAATTTTCAAAAAAAAAATACCACCCCTAAGGGTTTAAAACAGCTAATGATGAATTTAACCTACTTCTAATTGTCATATTTACTTTAAACTTTGCAAGTGTTACTGTTTCCGTCGATAGTACATTGTTAACCTGATCTGATGGCAAGGCCAAAAGGTGGATAGGTGGAACTCTTCAACGGCTAATAGTAGATACTTTGAGTTTGTGCTTATTTTGTTTGATTTGACAATAACTGATTAGTAGTTTTCATTTACTATTCATACCTAATCAAATAATTTCGAAGTCGGTGCCTGCCGATACAAAGCAAAGCACACCGATTTATTAATTGCGATAAACTAAAGTTTAATATAATTAAATAGTGTTGATTTTTTTATTTTCATATTATAGGTAATAATAAAATATTTAATTTGCACATCTATACAGATAAATAAAATTGAAGTGTCCGTTTGTAATGTAAAAATAACAGCGTTTTACTAAATACATACGAAATTATCTACGGTACTTATAAGAAAAACACTTGTTTTATTTTTGTCTGTCTGTCTGTTCCGGATAATCCCTAAATGGCTGGACTGATTTTGACGGGACTCTCACTGGAAGATAGCTGATGTTATAGGGAGTAACATAGCGTACTTATATTTTAGAAAATGAATTAGGGTTTCGCTAAAAAAAACGTACCTAGTAGGAAAAATAAAAAAAAACAATTATACTTACTAATGACATCAATTTCAAGTGTTCCAATATTATTATTTTACATTAATTTTTATCCAAAATCCAAATTTAAATTCACGGACGAAGCGTTGAGAAGCTAAAACTTTAAAATCCTTACTAAATTTATATATAAGGAAAATTGTTTTTATTAGTATGGCCTTCTATAAACAGGATCAGATCAAACGGGTCGACGACCGACGTTTTATTTTTATTTTGTGTCCGCTAAATATTATTTACTACATATCCCAACATAATTATAAGGTTACATCCTATCTTAGATTTAACTAAAATTACAAGAAAGCTAAATATAAATTTCAATTCAATTCTTTTGTTATTTACTCCAAAACGTACCAGTTGAGCGCAGATAACTTCGCCAATGTGACGTAGGATTGAGAAGACATGACGGAAATTGGTTGGTTAAATATAGAATTTACTTAAGAAAGGAGAGGGAAAGAGATTTTTTTTTTCAAGTATAATCTATCTGGTACGTACTAAATCCTACCTGTCATAGTATTCAGCCCTTTTTTCACGTCCCACTGCTGTACACGGGCCTCTCTTTACAGGAGAGATCTGGCCATAGTCCACCACGCTGGCCAAGTACGGGTTGGCGGACTGCATATATTTTTCGAAAACTTGCTAGGTCCTCATGGTTCTAAGACATCCAGTTTTCTCGCGATTTTTTCCTTCGCCGTAAGACAAGTGTTAATCATGTTGGAAATGATTTGCACATGAAAATATAAGAGGTGCGAGACCCGTAATTTGACCCACTTCACTCGGTTTACCAAGCGAGCGCGTTACTACTGGGCTATCGCTGCCTATACCTGTCATAAATGACGATTTTGTTCCTCTTTTTATGATATGAAATGCTACAATAATCTTAGCTTATAATAAACTGACCTTTCCATTAAAATTATTTGGTCATCCCATTCCGCGCCTTTCACTGCTGTGCTGCACTGCACTGCTGTTTGGCTCAGTTTGCAAGGACCCTACTTGCTATGCCAGTGATCGCGGGTTCGAGTTCCGCTGGGGGCATCAATTAATATTTGTACTCCAGTCATGGGTGTTTATTTTTATATGTATATATTTAAAGATATATATTATGTGTAGTGTGTCGATGGTATTCATAACACAAGCCTCGTAGCTTACCATGGAACTAGATGGTACGGTATATTAATGTCCCAACATATTTTTTTTTATATTTTAAAAAATTATAACCTCTTTTTTTAAAGTCGGTTACAAATCCACTTTTAAATAATATGGTGGCCGGTTTTATTGGAATGCTAAACTATTAGTTGCTGTTCTTTTTTATGCCATTATTTTTCTTGCAGTTTCCTTATATTGCTCTGGCAAATCTAGAAATATTGTTAAAAAATAAAAATAAAATTTGTATCTGTACTTTTGAATTAGATACTCAATAATGAGCTCATAATATTGTTATTACACAATTTTTTTTTGGTTGTTTGTATCGAATAGGCTTCGAAACTACAGAACCGATTTAGATAAAATTTGGTAAGAGGATAGTTGGAGATCCTGGGAAGGACATAGGATAGTTTTTATCCCGGAAATCATATGGGAAAGCAAGCTAGGGACGGACCCGAGCGAAGCGAGGGGTGAGTCGCTAGTTAGGGTAAGAACGAGTTGATGAAGGAACAAGTGAACATAGACACATGCGTGATAAATAAGAACTTTGCTTTTTACTTTTAAAGATTTCTTTATACTTGTTTTAGTCATTTAAATAAATTTTACCTATTCTCCTGATAAAAAATAAATACAGCGCCACCTAACGTTAAAAATATGAACTATTTGGTATATTTGATTCATAATTATTATGCTGTGAGTTATGGTTCGGGTTGGGAAAACCTGTAGGTAAAGTTTAATTATAACACTAGATGTCATATTTCATCATATATATTTATTTGCATAAATTAATTACAGTTCTCACATTCTCAAGGTCGAATTTTTGTTCAAGTTCAAGTGGTTTTATTGGGATTGGATTTTTTGCTTTTATCATACAAAAAATGAATATTCCCATAGAACGGAAATAAAAAAAATCCGACTCCGTAAAAAGTGAACTAAAAAGATGAGAACAAGTCGAGGAAGAAACATAAGTAGTGTTTTGCAGTCGAAGACATACACATAAACAGCTATAAAACATGTACATGGGCATATGTATGTATGAATGAATGGGTCGGACACATAAACACACATTACATACAAACATACGTCAGGTAAAAATAGTTTGAATAGGATATTGCATAACTCTCTGTTGGCCTAATGAATTCTGCATCTGTCCAAAACGACTAGATAGATTTGAATAGAGCTTTTTCGTTGTACATAAGAACTAAAATCATAAATAAGCATCATCAATACAGCATGGGTCCCCTATTTCATACATTTTTACGCAAAAGGGTAATAAATATAATATACCTAACCGTAGAGAGCTAGTATATAATATACTAACTGTTGAATAAACGTTTGGCTCAGTTTGTATCACTACAACAACAAGGGTCACCCTACTTGCTGTGCCAGCGGTCATTCATTTGCGTGATAAGCACGAATGTTTATATTTATATTTATGTATTTACAGATACACATTATGTGTATCAACTATCTCGTATCCATAGCACAAGCC